CACCAAGAGTTCAAGTGTTTGTAGCGATTAAATCTTGTGGTAAGATTTGTGTATAATTCCTTCGTGAGATTGAAAGATTATTTCGTGAGCAATTTGGACTAAATAGTGTTTGAGTTATTAGGTATAATTGGGTTTGGGAAACACTTAGAGTATTTGAGTGCCTCGAATGTGGTTTGTAATCTCCATTGTATCACTTGATTTATAGTGGAATTCCGTGCTGCTCTCCCCGTAGATGTAGGTCACTACGATCGAACCACGTAAATCGATATCCGACTTATTTTCTTATTTAGTCAAATTTATTGTTCGATCAATTGGCTTCCACAACAAGTAAGTTGCTAACAGTCTTAGGATGTACCTAGAATTATCCAACCTTTAACGGATTAATAAGTTACCAAAAGATTTGTGGAAGTGCCATAAGTTATTTGGTTGTTTTATATTACCAACTATCTCTATAAGTTACCAATATTTACTTACGTAACTTTTTGTTATCGATGTATTAAAAAAACAAACTTTTATAGAAAATTACCAACTCCATGATTGTTTCAAAATTACCAATTGGTTTTGGATTGAATACTTCGTGATTTAGATCTTGATGTCGTACGTCTTCTCGTGAATTACAACTAGGCATGTGTTTGAGCAAGTAAATTTTGCGGTAATATTTATTAATTCCTCTGCGAGATTGAAAGATTATTGGCTAAACACCATATGAGTTATTGAGTGTAACTGAAGGCTAGGAAACACTCTATGTTTGAGTGTTTCAAGTGTGGTTGTAATCTTCTTTGTATCACTGGATTTATAGTGAAATTTTATGTTGCTCTCTCCATGGACGTAGGTCATATCAATCAACCATGTAAATCTAGTATCTGATTTACTTTCTTGTTCTGTTTAATTTATTGTTCGATTATATGTTTCCGCAACAATTGATATCAGAGCCAGGTTTATATAAGTTGAAGCGAATCGATGTTGACTAAAGAGGGAAAAGTTGAGAATCGACAGATTTGACGGAAGAATTTTAAATTCTGGAAGATGCAGATTGATGATTATATATAATAAAGGAATTTGCACTTACTCCTATATAAGGAGAAGCCGAAGTTGATGAACCAAGCTGACTTGGAATTGCTAGATAAACAAGCATTGATGTTATTCGGCTGACATTGTCTTGTGACTTCGCGCTTAACATCGTGAAAAAGAATACCACTGCGAATTTGTTGAAGTTCCTTTCAAACATTTACGAGAAGCCCTCTACCATCAACAAAGTCTACTTTATGCAATGTGTCTATAACTTAAAGATGGGCAAATGTGCATCAGTTGCTAAACATATCATTGAAATGTGGTCGTTAGTCAATTGAGTTCAGTTGAGATTAATGTTGAAGATGAGGTACGTACTTTAATTCTATTATCCTCATTGCTTGATAATTGAAATACTACTGTTGGTAATTCCATTAGGTTAACAAGCTTGATGTTTGATAGGCTTCATGATTTGATTATGAGTAATGACAATCGTAGGAGAAGATTTAATGACCTGTGAAGCAGATGAAGAACTAGTACTCGTGTTAGCAAAAGTTGTATAAACCTGTTCAATCTAAGACTGGTGGTGCTGTTTATTGGAGGTGTGGCAAGAGGGCATATCTTAGAAGGGATTACATTAAGCTGAAGAACGAGAAGGGTAAGGGAATTAGAGTTGGGTCTACTAATGATATTGCTAGAATAGCTAATAGTAATTCGGATGATATTTATTATGTCTTCTATATCATTGAGGATTAATCGATTGACGAATGGATTATGGATTCTGATTGTTCATTTCATGCAACATTGACTGGGAACTGGTTAATTACTTATCAATGCATCGATAGTATTAAAATGCAATTGGGGAACAACGTTGAGTACAAGGTTGTGGGCATTGGCGATGTTTGAATCAAAATGGATGATAGTGTTGTGAGGACATTGACTCGAGTAAGGCACGTTTTAGAATTGAAGAAGAATTTAATTTCCTTAAGTGTTTTGGATTCAGTTGGGAATCAGTATTCTTCAAAATGTAGAATTTTAAAAGTTGTTCGAGATGCCTTAGTGATAATAAGATGCATCAAGCACGGTAGCTTATATGAGCTTCAAAGTGAGACGATGACGAATTTTACCTACATCTGTACAAGAGTCTGAATTATTGCATATGCATTTGTGGCACATTAGCGAGAGAAGCTTAAATGTTCTGAGTGAAAAGAATCTGTTATATGTTTATGTAACTGAGAAGCTGAATGTATGCAAGTGCTGTGACTTAGGCAAATAGCAAAAAGTGCAGTTCATTACGACAGTTAAAGAAACCACAAAGATTGGGAAATCAATTCACTCGGATATTTGCAGGCTTTCGCAAATTCCTTCAAGGAAGAGAACTAAATTTATGCTTAAAATTGTGGATGACTACTCAAGAAAGACCTGGATGTTTGTGCTGAGACACAAGTTTGATGTTGTTATTAGGATTAGGCAGTTGAAAGCTTTGATCGAAAAAGAAACCGGTAAGGCGATCAAGTGGGTGCGAACTTACAATAACATATATTCTACTTGAAGCACAAGGTGATTAGGGCTCTCGATTGTAGTGCCCGAAATTAAATTCATCTCTTGTCAACAGAAAAGTTACATTTTACGAGTCTCCAGTACTTTTAAATAGGAGTGATTATAACAGTGTTTATACGAATCTAGATGGTGTCCAACTTGAGGTGGAGTTACAACCAGAAACTCTTGAGGTAATAGGCATTAAGGTGGTAATCGACACATATGGTACTTATAGCAAGTGGAGCCTACAGAGCCAATAGCTATAACTGTTGAATTTGACAAGTTGCGTGTTCGATCTCTTTATAAATATGGATGCAACGATGGTTTTACTTTATATGTGATTGAGGAGGTTGTGTGCAAAGATCCTTACAGAGCAATATACACGTAAAGTTGATGTTCTAATGAGGTCCATGATCATGGCAAAAGTGAGGCTTGAACTTGAAAGATATCTGGGGCGGTTGAGCTCATAAGGGGCCGTAGGAGAGTGGCAGTGAAGTTTGGGTTTCGACAAAGCGAACGTGATTTAGCTCAAATGTCAAGTCAAGGTGAAGATTATTAGAAATATATTTCAAGTTGGAGCTCAAAAAAGAAACTTTCATAATTTGAATATTTTCTTACTTTGAAGAAGTTTTCTATTAATAACCTAGTTTGAGTAGATATCTTATTTTGGATCCAATTTTTTTCTATTTATAAGATGTGTCTCTGCTATGAAGAGCATCCAAGAGGCTACTTCTTTATAAATTACACTCTGAAGCAATTTGAGAGTGTCGAAGCAAATAAATCATGTGTTAAGATTTATGAATTCTTTTGTGAGATTGAATTATCTCATGAGGAATTGTGAGTTTAAATACCATGTGAGTTATTGGGTGTAATCAGGGGCTGGGAAACACTAAATGTTTGAGTTACTCGAATTTAGTTGTAATTTCCTTTGTATCACTTGACCTATAGTGGAATTCTATGTTGTTCTCCTTATGGACGTAGGTCACACCTAACGAACACCGAACCACATAAATCTCGTGTTCGATATATTTACTTGTTCTGTTTATATTGTTGTTCGATCAATTGTTTCCGCGACAATATTGTGTAACGAACCTAGGTACAATAGCTTAACCTAGTGATTAGATGCCATGCGAACAGGAGAAGAATAAGGGTCAAAACTGCTAACACATCTCACCAAATGGTGCCTTCAACATAAGTAACAGTGGCAATCGTCGCTGATCGCTTGATGCTAGGTGTAATTTTAATTTGCATTGCAATGTATGAAATTTTGTACGATCTATGTATAATTTCTTAACCACCGCGATTAACAAAATCTGTTAATTTGAGATTAAACTAGAACCGAGCATTTTCTTATTTGTGTAATGAGGATTTTGATTTAAGACCATTTTGTTCCTAAGGTATACCTAGACCTGTCAAAAAGGGTCATAACCATTTTTTTAACCTATATTTGATGGATTGGGTTTTTATATGGGTTAGTTATATTAAGTAGGGGTCATAAATGGGTTTAGACCCAACTCCATGGGTCGTATATAAGTTTAATATGGGTGTTAAAAATGTTCATAACTTACTTAAATCCAACACATCTCTACAACTCTCTCTCGCCCTCCCTCAATCACGTTGGCGTACTCTGTGGTTTCACTTTAGTTTGTGTATATGTGTTCTTTGATTAGGATAAATAAGAAGTGTTTTAGTAATACGGGTTGGTTCGGATATGTGTATGGCTAAGTATGAGTCATTAGATTTGTATTGCATGACATGGAATTAATTTGAGTCGAACCATTTTCAACCCGATCTGATATACTCATTTGATAGGTCTAGTTATACTTATAAAAGATAGGGAAACTAAGGGCACGAATGACAACATCTCTCTTTCCCCGGCCCTCTTTATGGCTAGAAATTAAAAAATATATTTCTCTTTCGCAAAAAGTAACGTTTGATAACAACACAAAATTTATGTTCTCGGAATAGAAATTCGTTTGATAACAACGCAGAATTTATATTCTCGCCGGCCAGTGAGCGACAACGAACAACCGGCCGGCGAAAGGCGGCGGCGGGCGGCGGCAACGGACGACCGGCGGCGGACGGTCGGCCGGCCGGTTGGCGAGCAGCAATGGGTGGTGGCAGATAGCCGGTGGCCAACAGCGAGTGGGCGGCGGTGGGCGACAAGGGTGAGCAATAAAAGAGAGTTGTTATTTCTATTTTTATTCCAGAAATAGAAAAGTAAAAAAATTTACCTTCTTATTTACGTTCCAAATCTATTTCCGAGCCAAAATTTATCTCAAAAATAAAAAATAAAATTATTTCGTCAAACAGATTTCTATTCTAAATCTATTCTAAAAAACAAAAAAAAAATAAAATAATAAAATAATTATCACTGGCGCCCTAATTTTCCTCTCTCTTCGTAAGAGGGAAAAAAACAAGAAACGGCAGAGATCAAATTTGGTGCAATCCGTGGTCACAAACCTCATGGGACAAGAACCGTTGAAAGACGACCCCCTCCTTCATCGTTGGATTTCGTTCGCTCGCTCGTGCTTCCCTTCTCCAACTGTTCATCGCACCCTTCAACTCCACCCTCGAATTTCGCAGTTCTTGGCTTTCAATGGGATGAACGTTGAGCTTAAGGGTGGTCGTTTCGGTGGCTGCTTCGAGCCATGGCCTCGTTGAAGCTGTCCATCTCCGTCGACGCTTGGGATGCAAGAAGGGTCGGTTTCTCCGTGAACCATGTTCAGTCATCTGACCGTGCCGCCTCCGGTTTACCCATTACTGGTTTTGTACATGTAAGTGGAGGTTCAGTCATCAGTCCTTTTGGTAGGTTCAAGCACATTAAGGTCTCTCGTGTTGATGCTGAACTGTCGTGTTGTCCTGCTCCTGAGTTGGAAATTGATGGCGTCGAGCCGCCTCCGGAAGGAAATTCTGTCGGTGAGAGATTGTTTGAGCAAAACCCACTTGCTGGAGGTGAGAAAAATCCCAACTTTGAGGGTCCAAAGAAAGGAAAGAAGCGAGATGGGAAGTGGAAATCCAGTTTTCGGAGATCCGATGGTGGGAAAAAAGATGTGGGTTTTGTGCAGGATTATAGTAGATTAGATGTAAATAACCTTGCGTCTGATTTGAGCATGGAAGAGTGTAATAGGATCTTGAGACAGCTCGAGAAATGCAGTGATAGCAAGACTTTAGAATTTTTCGAGTGGATGAGAAGTAATGGGAAATTGGAACGAAACATCGGGGCTTATAATTTGGTCCTCAGAGTGTTTGGTAGGAGAGAAGATTGGGATGCAGCAGAGAAATTGATTAGCCAGCTGAGTGTAGATCCTGAGTGTGGCTTAAGTTATCAGGTCTTTAACACTCTAATTTATGCATGTTGCAAAGAGGGAAGAGTTGAAATGGGGGGGAAGTGGTTCAGGATGATGTTGGGATATGGAGTTCAGCCTAATATTGCGACGTTTGGTATGCTCATGAGTCTTTACCAGAAGGGTTGGAAGGTTGAAGAGGCGGAATTTGCATTTAGCCGGATGAGAGATTGTGGAATCAAATGTGAATCAGCATATGCTGCAATGATCACAATCTATACACGTTTGAGGTTGTATGACAAAGCTGAGGAAATAATTGGCTTATTGAGAGATGACAATGTGATCCTGAAGGTGGAAAATTGGTTGGCGATACTTAATGCCTATTGTCAGCAAGGTAAATTAGAGGAGGCTGAAAAGACATTGATTTCCATGCAAGAAGCCGGATTGCCACCAAATATCGTTGCCTACAACACTTTGATAACTGGGTATGGAAAGGTGTCCAATATGGATGCTGCACAAAGAATATTTCAGAGTCTACAGGATCTTGGATTAGCGCCCGATGAGACAACTTACAGGTCCATGATTGAAGGATGGGGGCGAGCAAACGATTATCAAGAGGCGGCCTGGTACTGCAAAGAACTCAGGGGGTTAGGGTTGAAGCCTAATTCGTCCAATTTGTACACAATGATAAATTTGCAGGCAAAATATGGGGATGAAGATGGTGCTGCCAAAACTCTAGATGATATGGCAGAGATGGGTTGCCAATATTCATCGATCTTGGGTATTCTTTTACAAGCATATGAAAGGGCTGCAAGAATTGATAAAGTGCCTCTCCTTGTGAAAGATTCTTTTTATCAACACATTTTGGTCAACCAGACCTCATGCTCCACGTTGGTCATGGCTTATGTGAAAAATGGCTTGGTGGACATTGCCATAAAGGTTATGCAGGATAAACGGTGGACGGATGCAGCTTTTGAAGAAAATCTGTACCATCTCTTGATCTGCTCGTGTAAAGAGTTGGGCCATTTCGATAATGCAGTCAAAATATACTCGAGTATGCATAAAACTGAAGGCAGGGAGAACATGCATATCTTATGCACGATGATTGATATGTACAGTAGCTTGGGCCAATTTACTGAAGCTGAGGAACTGTATATGAAGCTAAAATCTTCTGGAGTTCCATTAGATGTGATTGCTTTCAGCATCGTTGTGAGAATGTACGTTAAAGCTGGATCCTTAAAAGAGGCTTGCTCTGTTCTTGAGATGATGGAGAAACAGAAAAATCTCGTACCTGACGTTTTTCTGTTTCGAGACATGTTCCGCATTTACCAGCGCTGTCGTATGCTGGATAAATTAGAAAATCTCTACTATCAATTTTTTAGGAGCGGCATCAGTTGGGATCAGGAAATGTATAATTGTGTCATAAACTGTTGCTCTCGTGCTCTTCCTGTTGATGAGCTATCCCGGCTTTTTGACGAGATGCTTCAGTGTGGATTTTCTCCTAATACAATCACCTTCAATGTCATGCTTGATGTTTATGGAAAAGCTAAGCTTTTCAAAAAGGTGAGGAAGTTGTTCTTGATGGCTAGAAAGCAAGGGCTGGCTGATACTGTTACATACAACACCATCGTAGCATCGTATGGGCAAAACAAGGACTTCATAAATATGTCATCATCTGTTCAAGAAATGCAGTTCGATGGTTTTTCGGTTTCTCTCGAAGTGTACAATTCCATGCTGGATGCTTATGGGAAAGAAGGCCAGATGGAGAGTTTTAGAAAAGTCTTGCAGAGACTGAAGGATTCAGCTCGTTCTCCTGATCGCTACACATACAATATCATGATGAACATTTACGGAGAGCGTGGATGGATTGATGAAGTTGCCGGCATATTGAAAGAACTTAAAGATTATCATCTAGGACCTGATTTGTGCAGCTATAACACATTGATCAAGGCATATGGAATTGCAGGAATGGTTGAAGAAGCTGTGGCCTTGATAAAGGAAATGAGGGAGAATGGGATAGAGCCTGATAAGGTCACCTTCATAAATTTGATCAATGCACTACGGAAGAATGATAAGTTTCTGGAGGCTGTTAGATGGTCCTTGTGGATGAAGCAGATGGGTTTAGGATAAACTTTTGTTGTCATTCAGATGGTTTTTGGCCTCTTTAACATCCACTACCTCCTTTGGGTGATGAAGTTGACTTAAATGAGGAATCAATCACCGAACCCATCAATATGCATGGTAGGAGTCTCTGGGGATTGCTGTTCAAGGACTGCACTAATGCTCGAGGACAAACTGCAATCCGTCATATGGCAAGTTGGTATAATTTAGTCAATTCTCCCAATATATCAATATCATTCAGCTATTCTTCACAATGTACAGCTGGCAAACATTTAGATTATAACCTTTTACAGTCAAGCTTTGTGCCAATGCAGCAACCATGTTGTGGTGAATTGGAGCATCCTGGCTTATGTGGAATAATTGGCTTCCACCTTAAGAAGAGAAGGATGAGTGACCATGAGGGACCTCTTAGGTGTGGAACAAAATTAGCTTGTAAATGATCGACTTTGTCGACAAATGGTTTCTCGTCGTGTCCTGTAGCAAAACTTTTGGGTTCGATGATTTTTCATCCAGACATCAGGATCAGTGTCCGTGGCCATTTTATGTTAATAATACTAGAATCTTACTTCTCTGATTTTGATTTTCACCTTTGCGTCACTATCAGTGTGGATGGTGACGAGTTTTGGAGAGGCTTGCACAGGCTATTAGTTGTTGACGATCCCATCAGGAAATGAATTGCTTGCTTACAATTTCCATTAGTAAGATACAATGAGGAAAATCATTATTTTAGGAAGGTTTCTGACGTCTGGGGTTAAAACACAGCTTCTTGTTGAAGCCTCTCAACTGTATGGAGTGCACAGCCCGGTTGGTGAACAGAGCAAGATGGGGGCAGGGTTGACGTTCCCCAACCCCACCTCGTGGGCTACGGCTGAGCATGGCCGGGCCGCCGGGGCTTTTAGCCACGTCCGGAACTGCTACGTTGTGCCGGCTGTCCATTGCTGACCGAGGCGATACTATTCGGTTGGGAACACATAGGGACAATGCCACGGACAAGCAAGTGCCGCCGTCAAGCGAGGAGGACAGACGACAGCCCCAATGAGTGGTGACTCGGTGAGCGGCGGGGGGTCGACAGCCACGCGACGGTCGGTCGATGGCCATGCGGTGGGACAACGAGAGAGTATGAGAGAACAGAATAAAATAACTGTAAACATTAATAGAGAAAATCGGTTAGTAAATAAACTAATCGAGAGCAGAGCATAATAACGAACATTATAAATTAATACATTATTTTAGATTAAAATCACAAGATCTTCAAGTGCTTCAATGCCAAACATCAAAAAATTACGGTGGATGGAGTAATTTATTTAATTTAATATTTAAAAAATATGCAAGTATAATGTTACAGGGCTTTAATTTTTGTAATATTTGTAAGAAATAAATAGAAGTATTTCGAATATATTTTAGTGATACGTTTATTATAAACTTGATTTCTTTAAAAAGGCCAAATGAACTTAAAAGGTTAAGGACTGAATTAACACAAATGCAATAAGTTTAGGACATTCTTGATAATTTCCCCGATTAACTATAAAACAATATAACCCACCTGCGCATGGCCGAGTTGGTGGGCGCTTTCCTTCCCTCCTCAGAGATTCTGGGTTCGAATCCCCGCTCGGTTCCGTAATTTAAGTGGGGAGCCATGGCGGTGGGTTACTGGGCTAGTCTCTCCCGAGGTATAGGCGCCCTGATTACCCGTGCGGGCTCGTCCCCGGGGAATGGTGGCGGATCCTCGGTTACCAAAAAAAAAAAACTATAAAATAATATGACTCATGTGGTCTAAAACGATATCCTTTATAATCAGTAAATCTCTTCAACCTATGAACCACATGCAAGTTTGGTCACCAAGTCGGTAACATTCCTTTAACATCCATATGTAACATTTCTATACAACACCGATTTCACATATAACCAATTTCACTTTTGCAAACCAGTCCGACCGACACCGCGGCCGGTTTTTCTCCTTTCATCCAACTGTGCAAGTTGAATGCAGGATCAGTCCCTTAGAAACACTAAACGGGACCATAGAACTTACCGGACCAGAAAATGTCCTGCCATTACTCCCAGTTTTCGCCGGCTTCCGACTGGATTTCAGTAACAGTACTTGCTACCTGTTCAAATGAATACAGAAACATCAGAGTCAAAATTGGAGCGGACATGCTAATTATTCTGGCAGCACCTCAAAGTGAGCTCCCTGAAGGAAGGAGTGATGGAGGTAGCAATAAGAAGGAAAAACAGCAATTAGTATCTAAAATGTCACCTCTTCCTGCCGAGGAATCCAGTTATTCGCGCGCAAATCAAGAACATCTTCAACCATGAACCTCAACCTTGGAGCCAGCTCAGTGTTGGTTGCCAATTCTTTCAACCGGTCGAAATATAAATCGCTTAAACGCCGTGATCCTGGGCCCTCATCAAGCTGCTTCCCGATGGTGTTGAAAAACTGGCAAACGGCCTCAACATTCTCCTCGGTAGGGCATGTCTTATTATCAGTTCCTAGGAGCTCCTGGTTCATTGAGCAGACAACGAGGGACCTCAATACAATTATAAAATTTAAAGAGAACCTGAATAGGTTATGTGTTTTGTCAAGACCTGAACAATGAGGTCAACGATTTTTGCGGTGACCACCCTCTGCTTCCAAAGCTCCCCAATCAATCTGACGTTTCCCACAAATCGAAGTTTGACCATACTCTCTTTTTCTCTTCGCTCAAGCTCTTGCTCAGGGGCAGTCATCTGTCTTACCGCCTCCCTTAGATTGTCAGCACCTTCAAATGCCTCCTGGCATCTGCTCACAAGTACTCGCCTGAAGGTGATATTATCCTTACCGCCTGGCTCATCAGAGGGAAATGGGGGAAGCATTATATGGAGATAAGAGCACAGACGAGCATACAGGGGGCAGAGCGTGGGATCCAGCACTGCTTTTTCGCAAATAAGATGTACTACTCCCTGTATTGGAATAAATATTTAAGTTGTCAAAATAAATAGAAATACAAACACGAAATGGAGAAAAGAAAATGCAGAAACCTTCAAAATGTCCGTTGTGGTTATTCCAGAGTCAATGAGCTCATCCTTGAGTACATCAAACTTCTCGGGAGTCAGCTCGTCCAGAATCCTGGAAAGAAAGCGCTGTCCATTGTAAGAGTCAATCCTAACTGCGATCCAAGTCTTAACATGACCAACTCAATTGCATCGACTAAACTCCATTAGGAATGCAAAAGAGGACCTCGTAAGGTGGCGTGTCAAGAAACACAAGTGAAAAGTCGATACATGGACTTCGTTAGATCACGTACTAGAGCATGGAAAGATGGAGCATGGTTAGGGAAGAGAACAAACCGGAACCACAATCTGATCTCCGCTAATAACATATTGCATACAAATCACAATTAATTGTCGACACCACTACAAGCCTGAAAAAATGAGGTCAATGCTTAGGAAATCTCACACTAGCAATGATAAAAATTTATACGCGAGGAAAGTTAAGAAAAATGATGCTTAAAAGAGAATATCAAAATTAATCAGTCATATATAAAGCAACTGGGTATAGTTATAGGATGTACATGAGAAAGAATGGTAATTCTCATTGATATTATGTTGGAGTACCAGTACTGATAGATGGGCACAGAGGACTTAAACATTACTATAAAGAAGCAAAGATACTGAGAAGCCAAGGTATGAATTTGCATGCTTATGAATCCAAAACGCAAAAAATGGGATGGTCATTCTGAATATCATGAAATGCAGATGAGTTGCACAAAATAATGCCGAGTTCTCAGTCACGATAAAAGAAAAAATCCCATGATCAAATCACCCAAGAGTTAATTTGAAAATTCGGCTCAAAAATCTGCCAAGCAAGACTACATAATTAACCATCCATAAGTATATTCAAGAAATGTGGACTTCAAAATCTATCTTTTCGGCTTTTTGTAATCCTTGAATATCAGGAATTTAAAGCACATTGAGAAGGCAACCAAGCCAAACATCAGCCACCAAAAATGACGCTTCAGCAAAAATAAAGCTGTACGACGCATACAGCAAGTATACTGCAAAGATCAAATCATTAGATAAACATTGTAAATTGTGAATTACCGCTTTACAGTCATCAGCACGCGGTATTTCTCCGACAGATTACGCCATCTAGGTGTCCAAGGCACTTCAGCCTTAACAAGAGCAGGAACCGGACCTCCCTGGTCAACCGATCAAAATAAGTGAAGCCAAATGAGACATTACACATCCGGAAACACGTGTTAATAGACACGTGAAGCATTTATCGGTGCATTTAACGAAGCCATGATCTGATCTTTGACGGTGCAACATTGTTCTTCCATATGCAAGTGGAACCTTATATTAGCACAATACTCCAGGCTTCGATAACCCTTCCCCAACCCAAGAGTAAAAAGGGCAAAAAGGAAACTCAGCACTTGCACACGTGCATGTAGGCAAGGAAAAGAGATGCAAGCTTGATCCCACTATCTTCATAAGACTTGACCAATATTACCAACTGACTTTTAAAACAATACTTCTTCTGACGGACTTTGACAATCAACAAGGTATCATAGCAGAGGTGGGAAGTTAAAACAACAAGATGGCATAAAATTGACAAAGATCTCAATTTCCAAAGAAGATAGGAAAAAGATCTCAATTTCCAAAGCAAATAAGAACTCTTATCGTAATTACTAAAGGGTGACTAGAAATCGTATGCAACATATCACTGTGGTACCAGGAGTTTTTGCCGCTTCCAAATGGATTTCAGTTATAGTCTTTGCTTTAACCGGTCCAAATGAATACAGAAACATCACAGTCAAAATTCAAACAGACATGTTAATTATTCTATAAGCACGTTGAAGTAAGCTTCCCCGGCCTAACTCTATGAAGGAAGGAGTGATAAAGTTGGTAAAAAGAAGGAAATCTAGACAAGTAAAGGGAAAAAGGAAATGCAAAAAAAAATAAAAGAAGCAATTAAAATCTAAAATGTCACCTCTTCCTGCCTAGGAATCCAGTTATTCGCACGCAAATCAAGAACATCTTTAACCATGAACCTCAATCTTGGAGCCAACTGGGTGTCGGTTGTCAATTCTTTCAACCGGTCGAAATATACATCGTTTCTACACCGTACTTTTGGTACCTCATCAAATTGCTTCCCAATGGTGTAAAACAACTGGCAAATAGCCTCAACATTCTCCTCGGCAGGACAAGTCTTATTATCAGTTCCTAGAAGCTCCTGGTTCATTGAGCAGACAAAGAGTAACCTCAATATAAATATAAAATTTAAAGAGAACCTGTATAGGTAATGCGTTTTATCAAAACCTGAACAATGTGGCAAACGATCTTTTCAGTGACCATCCTCTGCTTCCAAAGCTCCCCAATCAATTTGATGTTTCCCACAGTTCGAAGTTTGACCATACTCTCTTTTTCTCTTCGCTCAAGCTCCTGCTCAGGGGCAGTCATCCGTCTTACCTCCTCCTTTAGATTGTCAGCACCTTCAAATGCCTCCTGGCATCTGTTTAGAAGTAATCGCATGAAGGTGATATCCTTACCGCCTGCCTCATCAGAGGGAAATGAGGGCAGCTTTAAATGGAGATCAGAGCACAGACGAGCATACAAGGGGCAGAATGTGGGCTCCTGCACTGCTTTTTCGTAAATAAGATGTACTACTCCCTGTATTGGGAGAAAAAATTAAGTTGTCAAAATAAATAAAAATACAAACACGAAATGGAGAAAAGAAAATGCAGCAACCTTTAAAATATCCGCTGTGGCTATTCCAGAGCCAATGAGCTGACGCTCGAGCACATCAAACTTCTCGGGAGTCAGCTTGTTAAGAATCCTGAAAATAATGTACTATCCATTGTAAGAGTCAATCCTAACTGTGATACAACTCTAGCATAACCGATTCAATTGCATAGACTAATCTCCATTGGGAATGCAAAACAGGACCTCGTAAGGTGGCGTGTCAACAAACATAAGTAAAAAGTTGATACATGGGATTAGTTAGATCATATACTCAAGCATGGAAAGATAGAACATGGTTAGGGAAGATAACATACCGGAACCCCAATCTGATCTCCGCTAATAACATATTGCATATAAATCTAAATAAATCGTCGACACCACCACAAGCCTGAAAAGACGAGGTGGATGCATAGAAAATCTCGCACTAGAAAACGAAAAAAAATTATGCACAAGGAAAATTCGAAAAATTGATGCTAAAAAATAAAGCAACTGGGTATAGGAAGTTCATGAAAAAGAACAGTAATTCTCATTGATATTATGTTGGAGTACCTGTACTGATAGATGGGCACAGAGGCCTTAAACATTATTATAAAGAAGCAAAAATACGGAGAAGCCAAGGTATGAATTCGCATGCTTATGAATTAAAAACGCAAAAATGGGATGGTCATTCTAAATATCATGAAATGTGGACAAGTTGCAAAAATATGCTGAGTTGTCAGTCGCGAAAAGAAAAAAACCTATGATCAGATCACTCAAGAGTTTGAAAATGGGGCTCGAAAATCTGCAAGTAAAATGTTTGACAGACTACAATATCAACTATCCATAAGTATATTCAACAAATGAGGACTTCAAAATCTATATTTTCAGCTTTTTATAATCCTCGAGGATCAGGAGTTTAAAGCACACAGAGAAGGCAACCACGCCAAACTTCAGCAACCAAAATAGACACTTCAGCAAAAATAAAGCTGTACCGTGCATATAGCAGACATACTAAAAAGAACAAAATCATCAGATAAAATTGTAGAACTTGAATTACCCCTTTACAGTCTTCAGCACACGGTCTTTTTCCGACAGATTACCCCTTCTAGCCGACCAAGGCACTTCAGCCTTAACAAGAGCAGGCATTGGAGTTCCCTGGTCAACCGATCAAAATAAAATGAAGCCCAATGAGACATTACATAGCCACAAACACATTTTAATAGACAGGTGAAGCATTCATCGGTGCATTTAACTAAGGCATAATCTGATCTTAGACAGTGCAACATTGTTCTGCAATATGCAAGTGGAACCTTATATTAGCACAATACTCCGGGCCTCAATAACCCTCCCCAAACCCAAGGATAAAAAGGGGAAACACAGCACTTGCATATCTGCATCTACGCATGGAAAAGAGATGCAAGCTTGATCCCGCTATCTTCATAAGACTTGACCAACATTATCAACTGAATATTAAAACAATATTTTCTTTTGACAGACCTTCACAATGAACAGGGTATCATTAGGAACTCTGTCATAACTACTAAAGGGTGACTAGAAAAGGGTATGCAACTTATCACTGTAGCCAAGAAACTATAACTTTCGTAGGGGTGAGCCTGGAACCTGAGAACCAGACAGGTAGAACTTGTTCAGTTTCAGGTTCCAAGGTGTGCAAGGTAAGTTCCAGATTTCAAAAATTGGAGAACCTTTTTCGACGAGTAGGTTCCAGGTACCTGGAACTTGGAACCTAGAAACTGGAATAAGTTTTTGTGTTTTTTTTTGTCTGTGTTTTCGCGCAATCCTGTGATATTCCATGGTGTTCGATAGTCTAAGCTTCCATTTTATGACCGAGACTTTTACTTTGTTAATGTTTCATATTTTTCGTATATCTAAATATAAGTTGTGGTCGGTAGATTGTAACAGCAAGTGGTAGTCACAAAACGTGATACTTAACTGCAATCGTTCAATTAATAATACAAGTGAAATTTAGGTAGACCTTGGAACCGATCTTAGAACCTGTGACAAGGTAGGTTCCAGGTTCAGGGTATGCAAGGTAGGTTTCGGGTTCCAAAAAATAAGGAACCTGTTTAATGGGCAGATTCCAGGTTCGTGAACCATATCTTCTCAGGCTATTAGATAAGAACAACTAAAATAGTCTTCAAGAAAACGAGTTAACATTTACGTGTGAAAAAGATAGGCCAGTCTAGCCAGAAATGAATGCTACCTGATTAGAAGAGATCTGTGCTCCGGCGAACTGGGAGTTGAGTTGCTCCGAGTTATTAAATTGGTTCAGTTGCTGCTGCAAAGAGTCAGATCGGCCATCAAACTCTCTGTTTTCCCCGGTATTCTCCCAGGATCTCTCCTCCACGGCAGCAGGAACCTGGGGATTCCGACCGCGCCAGTCGCGATCGTCCAGCTCTGAAAAACGACTGTGTGTTTCATTTAGCGCCTGTTGGGGAAGGAATGTATTTTCATATGGGGTTACAATACAATTATCACTCGGTCACTTAAGCTAAAGTAACACTGAGCACGAAACGTGGAATTTTCCAGCATGAAACCATTAGAACACCACATAGGACAATGCCATTAAGGGTTGGTCCGCGCAGAAGTCCCAGTATTGAAAGGCATCAACATATCTTTCTTTCAAAAACCCGCGTCAACAAACTAGGGCCAAACCTTTCTTGTTGCAACTCACTCTCCAAGTCTAAGGATCACCTTTACTCTTTCAATAGTAGAATGTAAGCTCAACAACAAAAATGGAAAATATGAAAGTAAAAATGAGTACAAACGGAACCAAACGAACCCCAGATCGCCTAACGAACACGGGGAACGGTGAGAAAAGCAGCAAAACTTGTTTAAAACCCGAAGAACACCTGATCACGGCCCCCGGGAATCGGTACATCCATCGGCGAGATGCCCGTGGCCTTCGTCCCTTGGCACTAGCTCGATGCGTGACTTGGTGAGCGAGCGCCGCCGAGGGAGGAGGAGGAGGACGGACGGACGGACGGCGGCTGCAGCGAGCGGTGGTGACTACGGTGAGCGGGAGCGACGACGAGGGGGAGGGAGAGTGGCAAGACGCTCCATTGTCCTATTAAAAGTGTCAACCAGTCAACTTCCGTGCCCGGTTCCACAGTCCTTGCGCCTTTTTTACTTTGTTCTGCTTCAAGAGAATTTGGCTAATCCTTTTATCTAATTATTTATTAATCGTAAATAATTAAGGGAAAAAGAAGCCCTCAAAAGCCGACCCTAAACTTTTTTTTTTGCGACATAAAAACCCCAAACTTATATTTATCTGATACATTTACTTTTCGTCGATATTCCGTTAGATAATTTTTCAAATAAAACAACATCGTTTTTACGGACACTGCTCATTGACGAAAGACATATGTGTCACATAAGTTCAAGTTTGAGATTAAAATTTAGGGTCAACGTGTCACGGACTCACTAATAGATATAGTTTAGAATTTTTGACGGTTTTTTCTTAATAATTAAATATATTTTATCATAATTCTTACGTAAAATATTTTAATATAGGCAAATCTACAAAGATTATAATTAAGGAACGAGATATATTCTTTTTAAATCGACGAGGTAAGTCAAGCTATTCAAGAACCGTAGAAGTCCGTCCCATCCACTTAGAAAAGAAGACTTCCGGAAGAAGTTAATCCACTTAGAAAAGAAGACTTCCCGAAGAAGTTAATCCTTTTCGGTCATGACTTCTTTTTATGCCCCACTCATTGCACCGATTTTGTTGACCAACTCAGTACATTTAATATTATTAATTTAGAGATAGGGTTAATATCACGAACAATCCCAAATTAATTTTTTGATCACGAAAAATTCAAAATCGGTACACTTGTGATAATTTTACCCTTTGTTAATTTCTGTTAAATTTTACCATCAAATTTTTAAGTTTGATGACAAGTGACAGTTGACGGGTGTACTAGTTTGGAGTTTTATGTACCATTTTGTGGTTTTTCATGGCATTAATCTTATTTAACGGAGAGTAAATTTGTCACAAATGTACCAGTTTTGGTTTAAATTAGTTTGGGATAAATTTGTCACAGGTGTATCAGTTTAGGGTTTTTCGTTGTATTAACCATTACTTAGTATTGTTAAGATAAGCACTAGAACCGGGAACTGAACCGAACCGGCCAATTTTGGATGGTTCCCGGTTCCTAAAATTTGGAACCGATGATTGTCGGTTCGGTTCCCTATTTTAGGTGTGGACAAAACCACCAAACCGGACCGAATACTTTTTTTTATTAGCAAGTTTAAAATACTTAATCATATTTTTATCACATCTTTAGCATTTTTTCACCGAGATTTTCATTCATTAAAGATTCAAAACACTAAGGAATGAGAATTTAAACTATACAATAACACTTGCAGTCTTGTAGGGAATGATGATAACTTTTATCAATATGGGTCGGGTATGAGTTGGGTCGGGTATAAGTCACTAGAATTGTATCGTGTGAAAATGGGTCAAAACAGTTAAATGGGTCAATATGAGTCAGACCATTTTTTACCCGATCCGATCCTCCCGTTTGACAAGTCTAATCATTGTTAGTTCCAAAACTAAGGGAAAAATTCCAAATAAGGATTTGAAATGCCCTCATTTTCTCAAATAAGGGCGTTAAGTGAACATTATTTCAAATCAGGATATGAAGTGACCAAATCGTCTCAAATAAGGGTTTAAAGTGGTCAAATCGTCTCAAATAAGGATTTTTGGCCAGCCAACCAACATGTGACTATTTCGGCAAGAGTATTTTAGTAAAAAAAATTTTAAGTATATATTTTTTAAAAAATTTACTTTTCTTTTCTGTTTTCTTTTTTCTTTTTTTAAATTCTAAGTATATTTTTGAACTCAGCAAAACTTATCAAACTAAGAATAGAGTGAAAAAAGCACTTCAATGATATAAATTTGTTATTTCAACGATATGGTGTATTTACTTCAAAATAATATATATTTATCTTCATAAATAAAACTTATCCAATTAAGTATAAAACACTGTAACTCATATAGTCTAAAATGATATCCTTCAGAATCCATAAATCTGTTCAACCTATGAACCAGTAGTTTTCCATACTCAAGTCGCAGTTTCCTCAATCACATGTAAGTTTGGTCACCTAGTGGGTTACATTGCTTTAACATCCATACGTAATGTTACTATACTACACCGATTTTATAGATGACCGATTTCATGTTTGCAAACTAGTCCGACCGATGCCGACGCCGCTTTTTCTCCTTTTATCCGACTGTGCAAGTCAGATGCAGGATCAGTCCCTTAGAAATATTTACGGGACCATAGAACTTCCTGGACCAGAAAACCTCCCGCCATCATTCCCAGTTTTTGCCGGCTTCCGAATGGATTTCAGCAAATAGTATTTGCTACCTGTTCAAATGGATTCAGAAACATCAGAGTCAAAATTGGAACGGACATGCTAATTATTCTATAAGCACCTCAAAGTGAGCTTCCCAGGCCCAACTCTCTGAAGGAAGGAGTGAAGAAGTCGGTAATAAGAAGGAAGTCTAGACAACTGAAGGGAAAAAGGAAATGCAAAAAAAGCAGCAGCAGCAGCAATTAACATCTAAAATGTCACCTTCTTCCTGCCTAGGAATCCAGTTATTCACTCGCAAATCAACAACATCTTTAACCATGAACGTCAACCTTGGAGCCAGCTGAGTGTTGGTTGTCAATTCTTTCAACCGATTAAAATATAGATCATTTATACGCCGCGCTTTTGGGCTCTCATCAAGCTGCTTCCCAATGGTCTTGAAAAACTGGCAAATAGCCTCAACATTCTCCTCGGCAGGACACGTCTTATTATCAGTTCTTAGAAGCTCCTGGTTCATTGAGCAGACAGAGAGCAACCTCAATACAATTATAAAATTTAAAGAGAACCTGGATAGGTAATGCGCTTTATCAAACCTGAACAATGTGGTGAAAGATGCTTTCGGCAACCATCCCGTGCTTCAGAAGCTCCCCAATGAATCTGATGTTTCCCACGTATCGAAGTTTGACCATAATCTTGTTTTCTCTTCGCTCAAGCTCTAGCTCAGGGGCAGTCATCTGTCTTACCTCCTCCCTTAGATTGTCGGCACCTTCAAATTCCTCCTGGCATTTGTTTAGAAGCACTCGCCTGAAGGTGATATCCTTACCGCCTGCCTCATCAGAGGGAAATGAGGGCAGCTTTATCTGGAGATCAGAGCACAGACGAGCATACAAAGGGCAGAATGTGGGCTCCTGCACTGCTTTTTCGTAAATAAGCAGTACTACTCCCTGTATTGGGAGAAAAACTTAAGTTGTCGAAATAAATAGAAATAGAAACACGAAATGGAGAAAAGATAATGCAGCAACCTTCAAAATATCCGCTGTGGTTATTCCAGAGCCAATGAGCCGACCCTCAAGCACATCAAACTTCTTGGGAGTCAGCTTGTTCAGAATCCTGAAGATAAAGTACTATCCATTGTAATAATCAATCCTAACCACGATCCAAGTCTAACATAACCAATTCAACTGCATCGACTAATCTCCATTGGGAATGCAAAACAGGACCTCGTAAGGCGGCGTGTCGAGAAACACCAGTATAAAGTTGATACATGGGATTAGTTAGATCACATACTCAAGCATGGAAAGATAGAACATGGTTAGGGAAGCTAACAAACCAGAACTCCAATCTGATATCCACTAATAACATATTGCATAAATCAAAATTTATGGTCGACACCACCACAAGCCGGAAAGAACGAGGTGGATGCGTAGAAAATCTCGCACTAGCAAAGAAAAAAATTTATGCACAAGGAAAATTCGAAAAAATGATGCTAAAAAATAAAGCGACTGGGTACAGGAAGTTCACGAAAAAGAACAGTAATTCTCATTGATATTATGTTGGAGTACCTGTGCTGATAGATGGACACAGAGGACTTAAACCATAACAAAGAAGCAAAAATACGGAGAAGCCAAGGTATGAATTCGCACGCTTATGAATTAAAAACGCAAAAGAGGGATAGTCATTCTAAATATCATGAAATGCAGATGAGTTGCAAAAAATAATGCTGAGTTGTCAGTCACGAAAAGGAAAAAACCTATGATCAAATCACTGAAGAGTTTGAAAATGGGGCTCGAAAATCTGCAAGTAAAATGTTTGACAGACTACAATATCAACTATCCATAAGTATATTCAACAAATGAGGACTTCAAAATCTATATTTTCAGCTTTTTATAATCCTTGAGGATCAGGAGTTTAAAGCACACTGTGAAGGCAACCGCGCCAAACTTCAGCAACCAAAATAGACACTTCAGCAAAAATAAAGCCGTACCGTGCATATATCAGACATACTAAAAAGAACAAAATCATTAGATAAAATTGTCAAACATGAATTACCCCGTTACAGTCTTCAGCACACGATCTTTTTCCGACAGATTACCCCTTCTAGCTGACCAAGGCACTTCAGCCTTAACAAGAGCAGGAATTGGATCCCCCTGTTCAGCCGATCAAAATAAAATGAAGCCAAATGAGACATTACATAGCCACAAACACATTTTAATAGACAGGTCAAGCATTCATCGGTGCATTTAACAAAGGCATAATCTGATCTTTGACAGTGCAACATTGTTCTGCAATATGCAAGTGGAACCTTATATTAGCAGTTTAGCACATTACTCCGGGCTTCAATAACCCTCCCCAGACCCAAGGACAAAAAGGGGGAAAAAAAGGAAACACAGCACTTGCGCATATGCATGTACGCATGGAAAAGAGATGCAAGCTAGATTCCACTATCTTCGTAAGACTCGACCAATATTATCAACTGAATATTAAAACAATATTTCTTCTGACAGACCTTGACAATCGACACGGTATCATGAGGAACTCTATCATAATTACTAAAGGGTGACTAGAAAAAGGAATGCAACATATCACTGTGGCAAAGAAACGATAACTTTCGTGAACCATAACTTCTCTGGCTATTAGATAAAAACAACTACAAATACTCTTCAAGAAGGCGAGTTAACATTTACATGTGAAAAAGATAGGCCAGTCTTGCCAGAAATGAATGCTACCTGATTAGAAGAGATCTGTGCTAGGGCGAACTGGGAGTTGAGTTGCTCCAAGTTATTAAATTGGTTCAGTTGCTGCTGCCAAGAGTCAGATCGGCCACCAAACTCTCTGTTTTCCCCGGTAATCTCCCAGGACCTCTCCTCCGCAGCAGCAGGAACCTGGGGATTCCGACCGTGCCTGTCACGATCATCTGGCTCTGAAAAACAACTGTGTGTTTCATTCGGCGCCTGTTGGGGAAAGAATATATTGTCATATGGGGTAACAATATAATTGTCACTCAGTCACTTGAGCTAAAGTAACGCTGAGCACCAAACTTGGAATTTTCCGGCATGAAACCATTAAAACACCATTAGGAGATCTCTTTGGAAAGCAATTGATTATAATCATCACTCAGTCACTTAAGCTAAAGTAACACCGGAGCGATGCCATTCGGTCAGGACCACATAGGACAATGCCATTTAAGGTGGGTCGGCGCAGGAGTCCCAGTACTGAAAGTCATCAACATATCTTTCTTTCAAAAACCTGCTTCAACAAACTTGAGCCAAACCTTTCTTGCTGCAATTCACTCTACAAGTCTCAGGATCACCTTTACTCTTTCAATAATAGACTGTGAGCTCAAGAACAACAACAACAACAACAACAAAAATGGAAAAGATGAACGTAAAGATGAGTACAAATGGAACCAAACAAACCCCAGATCGCCTAATGAACACAGGGAACATTGAGAAAAGTATCAAAACTTGTTCAGAACCTGAAGAACACCTGATCACAACCCCCGGGAAATGGTAAATCCATCGACGAGATGCTCGTTGCCTTCGTCCCTTGGCACTAACTCGATGCGTGACTCGGTGAGTGAGCGCCACCAAGAGAGGAGGAGGAGAAGGACAGGCGAGTGGTGGTGACTTGGTGAGCGAGAGCGACGACGTGGGAGAGGGAGAGTAGCAAAACGCTCCATTGCCCTATTAAAAGCGTCAACCTGCCAACTTCTGCACCCTGTTCCACAGCAGTTGTGCCTTCTCGTCCACTTTGCAGAGAACTTCGGGAGGAAGTTAATCCTCCCCGGTCATGACCTCTCTTTTTATGTCCGTGGAGCAAATATTGGATAGATCAGCCTTGCCAAGTCAGCAAGAGGTCAGTACATTCAAATATTGCCATGTGTACCACACGGATCTCACCTTACGGAAATTTTGAACCTCCCTTTGCTCTCCCTCCCTCCCGAGAAAACTTCATCTTCCTCTTTACGTTTTCTAAAAAAAATTCAGGGAAGGAAGGTGGCTTCTCTCTATCCACTGTCTCCGCCTCCACCATAGCCTCCACCGTATCCTCCGGAGCACCAATGGTGGCTCCGACCGTCGTCTGGTCCGACGAGTTTGAGTTGAACTGAAGATAATGTTCACCAGAAGTCCGGGAAGCACCGCCGGAGTTCCCATGGCTATCACCACCTGACTTCACCTCAGAGGCACCACCACTTCCACTGCTGGCCTCACCGCCTCCTTTCATCCTGCCAGAGACACCACCGGACTTCCTCCTGCTGCCGCCAATGATCCCGCTGTCGAATATCTAAATTCGATCCTATCAACGATACAAGAAAGTAATGAAAATTCGCACAACACAAGAATTTACGTGGTTCAGCAGGGAAGATGTTCCGCCTACCTACGTCCTCGGGGAGAAGAGATCCGTTTTACTAATAACTTAAAAAAGTGTATAACCACTCTTTCTCAGCCCCTGCCTCTTTTCTAGAGACCCGTTTCGCCCTAAATATATATATAGCGAAATCCTACATGGCACAAATTACAAAATTGCCCACGTAGCCTAAAATATTTAATTTTCCCATATAAATCCTTGTATGACTGAACATAAAACGCCTCTGGCAGCCAGGGGCGCTGCCCCCGCGACCCCCGCCCGCTCACCGAGGAGCGGGACCCCCATGATGTCCAGTCGTCAGGGGGTCTTTCGGAACCGCCTCATAATCTCTTGGATAACAGAATACAAGACATCAACCTCAACACCCGCTCGTCCCCATTCTCTCTCCTTCAGCTCCTGAGCCGCCTGTCTTTCCATTGCTGCTACTGGAATTTCCACTACTATCACCACCGGCATTTCAACTCCCGCTAGCGCCGGATTTTGTCTGGCCGCCTCCGCTGGACCCTGACATTCCAGCATGTCAAGGCTTCAAGTCCCAGTCCCAGTGAATTTACGTCCACTTCTCGTCTACGAAAAGTCATGGCCTTAATGCCTTGTTAACCATATTCCCACATGTACGTTTGAAATTGCAGTGAAAACCGAAATATATTTCTACTTGGTAATCGATCGGTCCATTTTAATATTTTTTTCCTCTTGCCATATAAAAATTTCCATATATTCATAACAGAGAAATTGTCAAAGTACAAATTCACAGAGGACGTTCCCCCACTTCAGAAACTAGCAACAACTTCAGAGGAGATGAGAGTTCAAGATACCAATTGATTGGCTCCATCTTCTTCCTTCTATAGCGTGAATCTTCCCAATGGCCCACGCATGTTCAAGCTTTCTAAGAACAACGACTAAATGCTCTAATTCCTTAGAAATGGCTGCTAGAACAGGCTCCAGCTTACAAGACTTTCTACCGTGCCTCCGTGTTAATTCATTAAGAGGAAAATGACACAAACAATCCATGAACTTTGACTTGCAATGTGGTCACTGACCTTTTAATTTGTTCATTGGGCTCCATGAACTTTAACCCAATATGTAATGTGGTCCATGAATTTTTAATTTGTTCTATGCCGATAATTTAGTCCCTGAATTATATGAAAATGTATAATGTTGTCCTTTCATAATTCAAGTTCAGGGGCTATATTGAACATTTTTTTGTAGTTCATGGACTACATTGAACATATACCAAAAGTCAAAGGACCACATTGAACAAATTAAAAGTTCAAGAACCACATTGAATATTAGGCTAAAATTTATGAACTACATTGAACAAATTAAAAGTTCAAAGACCACATTGCATATGGGACCAAAGTTCATAAATTGTTTGGGTCACTACCCCTTCATTATGCATAACAAGTGAGTTCCACGTAGCAAGAGCTTCTGTTATATCAACTGAGCCTGCATCAACCACGAAGCCTCTGCCACCAACTAGTTCTCCATCAGAATTCCCAGCCACTATTCCAACTGCTGCTTATGAAGTATCGTGGTCGAAATTCCCACCACGATTTATTTTTGTAACATCCCCGAAAGGCTTCTTCCATTTCTGTAGAGAATCTAATGTGGCTTTAAGAGCACCATTCCCAATATCTTGCCTGTTGCTTCCAGTTCCACAGCCATGACAAACTCCTTGAATGCAGTAATGGGGCTCCTCCGGCGGAGGCGACCGCGTGGTTCGCCCGACGAATAGAGAGAAGCCTGACGAGATGATAGAAAAGTCGAGCACCGTAGAAGTCCGTCCCATCCACTTGGAAAAGGAGACTTCCGGAAGAAGTTAATCGTTTTTGGTCATGACCTCTTTTTATAGGGACTTCTCTTGAATTCGTGGTAGCCATTAAAAGTGCCACGTGACTCGTTGTACTAATTTGTTGACCAACTCAGTACATTTAATATTATTAGTTTAGATAAATGGTCTTCAGCCATTCGTTAATAAGATCTTTAAAATGAATTTTGTAATTTTTTCATACGACAAAGATCCCACGAGGAAAACACCATACGAATTGCCTTTTAGGCGGGCAAAGTTCTAAAGAAAGAGAGAGAATAGCAAAATGCTTCGTATGATGCGGATAGCCAAGGCTGTGTAATTGGACCGATTCTAGTCGGGCACCGAATTGATTGGACGGGTTATAAAGCATAAAAACCTTAATTTTTCTCTTGGCGTCTTTTTCTTTATTCTCAGACAGTTTAGGGACTTGATTGAGTATTACTAAGAATAGATGAAAAGAAAATCTTTAATAATATAATTTGTTATTTCAATAATACGGTGTATTTCATTCAAAATGATATGCTTAACTAAGAATGAAATAAATGATATAATTTATTTACGTAAATGAAACTTATCCAACTAAGTGTAAAATAATATAGCCTATATAGTTTTTTTTTTTGGTCGGTGCCTATATAGTTTAAATGATATCATTTAGAATTCGTAAATTTGTTCAACCTATGAGTATTCCTCGCAGTTTCCTTAATCAAATATGAGTTTGGTCATAAGTTAGTATTATTAAGGGTGAATATTGGAATCGGACTGAACCGGAACTGGATCGAACCGACTAGTTCTGAGCGGTTTCCAGTAATTAAATTTAGAACTGATGATTGTCGACCTAGTTCTCTGTGGTCCACACCGATACTTTTTATATTAGCAAGTTAAATGATACTTGATCTTATTTTATCACGTCTTTACTGTCTTTTTATCGAGATTTTTATTGATTAAAGATCCAAAATACTAAAAAATGAGAGTTTAGACCATGCAACAATACTTGCAGTCTTGTAGGAAATCAAGAAAAATAAAAAGGATACCATTGCCGCCGGTTCCAGAATCAAGTGGGCCAACTCCCAGTTCCAGGGTCACCCGCAAGTCTTTTGCACTAGGGGTGATCGGTTCTCGATCCAGTCCAGTTCCGGGAGGACTAGTTCCCAATTTTGCGAACTAAGGACTGGATCGATGGTCCAATTCCGGTTCCGGTCCAATGGAACCAGTCACTTTTTTTTATTTTTTCCCATCACAACAAGAGAAAGTGATAAATCTCAACAAGTGACGATGAGTGAAGAGCTATTGTGGTGCGACAATAAGGGGAAAATGTTGCAACGCGGGTTTAGTTCACATTTTACTATTTTTTTTAGAAATAGAAAATTAAAAAAGTATATATTATTGATCCAGTTCAGTCCGATTTCCCTTGGAACAGGGAATCGGATCGCCTAAACACTGGTTTCACTTTTAGGAATCGGGAACCGGATCGATACTCCTGAAAACTGGATCAAACCGACTGATCCGGTCCGGTCCAAGAGTTCTTGATTCGAGCGGTCCATTTTGCACACCCCTGTAATGCACGGCCTCCCGCCAATTTTCCTAGTGGTACCACTTTTTGAAGCAGCGACAACAATTCCAAGCACTAACAAAGGAACCAAGTGTAAGCTCTGTCGCCATCCCCCCCCGGTCAGCAGATGAACTTCAGAACCGCGGTCGCGCCCCTGCCTGCCGCCGCCGCCGCCGCGCTCGAGCGCAATCGCAACTTCTTCCTGTCGCTCCTCAATGGATCCACGACGCTCTCCCACCTCGCCCAAGCCCACGCCCAGATCGTCGTCGGCGGCTACAGCAACGACGTCTCCACCGTCACCAAGCTCACCCACAAGCTCTGCGACCTCAAGGCCATCGGCTGCGCCCGCGACCTCTTCCTCTCGGTCTCGAAGCCCGACCTCTTCCTCTTCAACGTCGTCATCAAGGGCTACGCCAGTAACAACTCGCCGCGGTCGTCCATCTCCCTGTTCACCCATCTGCGGAAGAACACCCACCTGCGGCCCGACAACTTCACTTACTTCTTCGCCATTTCGGCTTCTTCGGGTTTTGCGGATGAAAAGGTGGGGAATTTGCTGCATTCGCAAGCTATTGTTGATGGGTTCGGGTTGGATTTGTTTATCGGGTCCGCTTTGGTGGATCTTTACTTGAAGTTCTCGAAAGTGGAGCTTGCGAGGAAGCTGTTTGATGAGATGCCTGAGAGGGACACCGTGTTGTGGAACACCATGATCTCTGGCTTGGTGAAGAATTGTTGTTTCGAGGATTCGGTTTTGGTATTTAAGGATATGGTTGCCGATGCGGAGATCCGGTTGGACTCGACGTCTCTTGCGGCTGTGCTCCCGGCTGCAGGGGAGTTGCAGCAATTGAGGGTAGGTATGGGGATTCAATCTCTGGCTACGAAACTGGGACTTCATTCGCATGTCCATATACTTACAGGACTAATATCATTTTATTCCAAATGCGGGGATACCGAGACAGCTAGTTTGTTGTTCGACCAGATCGACAGGCCGGATTTGGTATCTTATAATGCGATGATTTCTGGGTACACGTGCAATAACAAAACCGGCTCTTCCCTGAGGTTATTCAAGGAATTGCTTGCATTTGGGGAAAGAGCAAATTCAAGCACAATTGTGGGATTGATTCCTGTGTTCTTTCCCTTTGGTCATTTGGACCTGACGCTCTGTATTCACTGTTTCTGTGTAAAATCTGGCGTTGCTTCAAATCCTGCCATTTCAACTGCGTTAACCACTGTGTACAGTAGGTTGAATGAAATTGAACTTGCACGGCAGGTTTTTGATGAATCTACTGAGAAAAGCTTGGCATCCTGGAATGCCATGATTTCAGGTTATACCCAGAATGGGTTAACGGATGCTGCTATTCTTCTTTTCCAAAATATGCAGACATACAAGGTCCAGCCAAATCCAGTGACAGTGACTAGCATTCTCTCTGCCTGTGCCCAACTAGGAGCTGTAAGTCTAGGAAAATGGGTCCACGACCTAGTTAAACGAGAGGGATTCCATACCAACATTTATGTTATGACTGCTCTGATAGACATGTATGCGAAGTGCGGGAGCATTGTGGAGGCACGGAGAATATTTGACTCGATGCAGGAGAAGAATGTGGTCACTTGGAACTCCATGATTTGTGGATATGGTCTTCATGGACATGGAAAAGAAGCCCTGGATCTCTTCACCAAGATGTTGCAATCTGGGGTTTCACCATCTGGAGTTACGTTCCTTTCTGTCTTGTATGCTTGCAGTCACGCTGGCTTGGTGACAGAAGGAGATAGAATTTTCCATTCCATGGTACATGATCACGGTTTTGAGCCCTTAGCTGAACATTACGCCTGCATGGTTGACATTTTCGGCCGAGCTGGAAAGCTAGAGAAGGCCTTAGAGTTTATAGAGAGAATGCCGGTGGAGCCAGGGCCTCCTATCTGGGGTGCACTGCTAGGAGCCTGCATGATTCACAAGGACACAAGACTAGCACATCTGGCCTCTAAAAGGCTATTTGAGTTGGACCCTGAAAATGTTGGATATTATGTCTTACTCTCGAATATATACTCTGTGGACAAGAATTATCCACAAGCGGCTTCCATACGACAAGTAGTTCGACGCAGGAGCTTGGCAAAAACTCCTGGCTGCACTTTGATAGAAGTTGGTGGGGTACCACATGTCTTTACCTCAGGTGACCAGTCTCATCCTCAAACCAAAGCAATCTATGCAAAGCTGGAAAATTTAATGGGGAAGATGAGGGAAGCTGGATTTCAGGCAGAGACTGTCACTGCTTTGCACGATGTGGAAGATGAAGAGAAAGAGCTAATGATGAAGGTTCATAGTGAGAAACTCGCTATTGCTTTTGGCCTTATTTCTACTGAGCCTGGAAGTGAGATCAGGATCATCAAGAATCTACGGGTTTGTCCAGACTGCCACACTGCTACGAAATTCATATCAAAGATCACTGGGAGAGACATTGTTGTTAGAGATGCCAATCGTTTCCATCATTTTAAGGATGGCATTTGTTCTTGTGGAGACTATTGGTGAAAAGGAAAAAGTCCTCTCGCTGCTCGTTTGGTTGAGATTGCAGCTGCATTCAACTTTTCATTCTGTCAGCCCATCCGGTAAGGATATCTACTGTGCCACCTCATTGCATTATTTACATGACATACACAAAGGTTGACAAGTATATTCAAACATATGCTGCAGAATAGACATAACTCTCTTGTTCTGGTCTGTCATGACCAATTTGTTCCTCTTTTTACCTATTACGGAAAAACAAATAAGTAAGTAGTTGCACAGTGAACCATTCTTTTCACCCATGTATACATGTAAGCATGCTTATCATTTTGTGCAGTTTCATTTACCTTGGAGTCGTATAGCTGTAATCATCAAATCTATGTCTCTTATTGAACCTTGGGCTGTCAAATATATGGCTTCCTTGCCTTGTCATATGGATGTCCTGCAGCAGGAGCTGCTTAGAATACACTTTGTTTTCACTTGGTGCAGTGCGGGGAGGAAATGAGAGTGGTTGGTGGTGGTGAGCAGAAACCAGTGCTTATGGCTTCAGTTATTAGTTATCAAGATGCAACATGTTTCTTTTTCCAACTTCCGATTTATTTGTTCACTGATAATGTTTTTGATGAGAAAGGGATGCTTATTTGTCTCACCCTTTATCTTTGCTTTTGATGCACATCAGATGCTAGTCTTGAATAATACCCGTCTCAGTTAGTTGTGTTCTTTTTCTACTTTCACTCAAAACAATCAATTCTAGACTCAGGCACTTGAAGGTCCCTTTACACACACATTATTTTATTTTGAATGTTTGAAAACTCCTTTTAGAAAATAAACTGTCAGGGTTGATCATTTACTATGAATCAGAGATTGCAAATACAGAATTTCCTAGAAGCAATCCATGCAGCCTAGTACGACCCACTGAGGATTTCTCCAGTCTTGAGCATTAAGAAAATAAATAATTCTGCATCCTCGAAAAGTTAGTGCTTACAAGAAGACCTTCATTCACTTACGAAATTGGACATTTTTGCTTTGTACTTCACAAAATACACACTCTATCTTTATTCAATCTTAGCACTCCTGTGCTTTGGATTTTTACACTAAATTTATCTGGACGAAAAGTTCTTGTACTTCAGGAGATGCGCGTACTGAAGCCGGAATTTTGAGATTTAGCAATTATTTCCACATTGCTTAGTATCAGGTCCCTTGGTCTTTAGCACAAACGGATCGATTCTGACCCACAGCAAGGAGAATATAGAAGCGAGTAGTATTGACCATATTACCACTATGGTTGGTGTTCGGTTCTGTCGCCCCATCAGCCCTTTGAGGAAGGGATAGAGATGGGCAATCACCCAGAAGGCGAAGAATAATTTACCAAAGAGCAGTCCCATTGCTTGGTTCCCATTGTTAATGGCATCAGTGACTCCAGCAACTATTCCAACTAGGTTGATGATCAATATTGTTGTGGGAGGGATTAACAAGGTTGTCCATTTGAATGTGTACAGGTCTCCAAACTCTTCATCATGGGCTGCTTTGGATGTCACTGTGAAATCAGTGTCTACTCCAGCCAAAATCTTCAGGATACCCAGTACAACAGCAAACAGGTGAGCTGACACACCACCAATTATTGAGAATTGCTCGTTTCTCCACCATTCCTCTATGCTCACTCCACTCCACCTTGATTCAAGAATGCTCGTCGCAAACATTGAGATAAAAAGACCGATGAAGAAAAGACTGGCAGAAGTGCTAATCTGTAAAGTGCAAAAGTAAGTTGAGAACATAAGCTAAAATATCTGACAAGTTCAACTCATATAGATTGCTACATCTTTTTATGTCTTTGTATACTTACAGGTGGCATGATGAACTTGTCTGTGAGCAAGCAAATGGCCGGTAGAGTACAGTAGGCAATGAGTGGTAAAGAGGTGAAAGGATAGATGGTTGTGTGAACATATGCAAACCGTTGAAGCCACTTAAGCTTCCCTCCTTTGTAACCATACCAGACTGGACAATGGTGGCTTAAAAATATCTCAACAGAGCCATGTGCCCAACGAAGCACTTGACTGAGCCGATCTGAAAGATTGATTGGAGCAGATCCCTTGAATGCTGGTCTCTTTGGCATACAATATATGGACCTCCAACCGCGGCAATGCATCTTGAAGCCTGTTAGGATATCCTCTGTAATAGAACCGTAAATCCAGCCCAGCTGCAAGCAGAAATTTCAGAGTCATCAAGTTTCAGTAAGGATATGTAAATGCTAATGCCAAGGTATCAACCACGTTTTTCAGGATTGAAAAGATTAGACAGTAGCTTTTTGAAAATTCATCTGTTTTTAGAGCTGTGACAGCTTAGGACAATTGACATATCACCAATTGGAGCAATAACTAATATATGCAGCAAATTCATAAAATTTTACTTGCAACAAGGTTGCAAACCTCTGTATGCTGTATTGGTGGAGATGTTCTCTTTTTCTGGTAACAGCTAAGCTGGTGCCCCTATAAAGACTGACGAGAGTGGTTTTAGTTTCCTAGAATTTGATATTACCTCGGTGCCCCATTCAGTTTTATCTTCGTACCGACAACTGATAACATGGATGGCTTCTTTCAGCAGGGCTGCTGGACTTGAAGAAGGGGGTACACCACCCTGGTCCATCAAAGTTGAAGTTGCGAATATCGCTGACTGCCCAAACTTCTCGAAATTTATCTGGGACTTCAATAGCTCCTTGTTATCATCCACTCCTAATCAAGAGGTGAAGAAGGGTTCTAGTTTAGTGATGGAGGAAATTACAAGCAAAGACGGAAGGATATTGGCATGCAGGTACCGTATATGCTGGTAAAAAAGAAACAGTTTGAAAACCTTGCAGATTTGCAGCTTCCCCATTGGCACCATGCTTAGAATACTTTGGGAGCGTTTTCCGGTGGCCAAAGCATGGGCAGCAATCGCAGCTTACCATCTTAGGACGCTTAGGACCCTTGGGGGGTTCGTAGCCATATAATGCTTTTCTTCGGAAGACACATCCAGTGCCCACATAGACTGGGCCCTGGATTCCATCTAGACCTTTCATGTTGATCTGCAGAAATAAGAAAGGCAAACCTGATTCATTTCTTACTGAAGGAACGGTGGCATATAAGCGTATTTTCTGATCACTCTCAAGAAAGGCTTACATCAAAGAAAACCGTGTTTCTGTTGGCATATCGGTCATGCCTATCAATGCCATCAAATCTTTGAGGGAATTGGACATAGCAAACCTTTGCTCCTATCTTAGGGTCCATTAAGAAGCACATCGCCTCACGTACAGCTTTGCTGTTATTTATGTAGTGGTCACAATCCAAGTTCAGCATGAAAGGAGCATTTGTAAGCACGCCGGAGACACGAACCTTAGGAATTGGAGGCATTAAAGCATGAGTTATGAGGAAGCCAGGCTAAGAAAAAGGCTGATTCAATTTCGAGTAGAAGTTGAGATCATTTACCAAGGCATTCATGGCACCAGCTTTCTTGTGATGTTGGAAGCCAGGCCTCTTCTCACGAGACACATAAACAAGGTGAGGGAGCTCGTTTCCTTCTGCATCAAGATCTCCACTGGGTCCAAGGAAGACTTGAATCATACCTGGACGATCCTTTGTGTTGTTTCCTGGCCATGGTGTCCCATCTTGCATGATCCATCCCTCTGGAGGTACAATTGAAGCTTTAGCGACCAAGGCATTGATCCGCACTTTGAATTCTTCATATTCCCTCTGCCAAATGAAAAGCACAATTAGATCTCGATTGCAATGGTAGGATTTACTCTTATCTGTCAGTCTGAGAAGCTATCTAGAAACCTTCATTGCTCGCCGCTCTTTGACAAAGGTTGGCTGGACTTTGTCTTGGAGATAATCAATCTTCAAAGTGAAGTACATTTCCGGGTTTCGAGGCTCTATAGAGAACTTTTTGCAGAAGGGTACCCATTTTCTAGCAAACTCGGCCGTTTCAGACAAAGAATCAAAGGTGAGCATGGAAGCTCCATCATCGTGAACATAGCATGAGATCTTATCGACTGGATAATCCATAGCCAATATCGATAGAACTGTGTTCGCAGTCACAAGTGGGGGCTCCTTCATAGGATCCACTGTAGTCACAAAGATATCCGCTGGGGAAAGCATATTAGGTTCACCTTCCCTTTCATATCTGCGCATAAGCAAAAGAATTATACTGCAAGGAAAAGATACATCTACTTTTTATAATTCTGGCAATTAAGCTTAGTGCCTTGAATCATAAGATCAAGCAGCTAGGAGGATAAAGTTGGGTAGAAAGGCTGCTTTCAAGGATCAATCCCATAATATACATTTCGATATGCTTACTTTCTTTCCTAGTGACATTCTTCTGTCTGCTTCTTAGACATATGAGAATACTTTCATTTTACTTTAAGTGATACAACGTATGGTGTACAGGAGATAAATCATATCATTGATTACTGAGATGTAGTTTTTGTTTCTTATTTCACAGTGATTGTTTTTGTCAAAACCTTTTAGTAAGGTTGCCTATTGTGAGCTGTTATGTCCAGGATTCGACTACTTCACGTGTCTACAATATTATGAATATCATTTATTTATATCTGAGTCTAGCACTCTTATCCTCATCTCTTCCAAGAATTGGAAATTTTTTGGCTATTGCCTACCTGAGAGAAAGGCGATCAAGATAGGTCTCGCGATTGATAGGGAGCCATTTTGGGAACTGATCCAGGATCCATGATAAAGTGAACCATATCTCACAGAGAATGGATGTTAGCCAGATTCCAATTGCATCGTGCACTGGATTCAAAATTCTGTACCGCAGTAATAAAGCCATTACAGCAAGTCGAACGACTATCAGCATCCGATAAGGGTTGATCTTGCTAGGTGCAGTAGGAACTTTCCTAGAAAGCGGCTGCCTAGCCTCATCTATCCTGCATTCAATTCAACCGGTTTCATGGCATATAAAATGTTAGTCCTGGAAATATATTCGCTTTAGTCATTTCGCCTTTTGCAGTCAATCAGTAGAAGACATACGCTGCCATGTCTGGGTCATTGATGTCATCAAGGCCTAGATTGCCTTGCTGCAGTTTCCAGTCATCCATCCTTTTTTTCCACCCTCCTTCATTCTTTTCATCCCATCCTTCACTTCCTGTTTGCGACAAGATCATTGCAATGTAGGAAAAGGTAATGGTAGAGCATCTTTGCAGAGAATTTTTAAAAATTAACTTTTTGCTGTAGCGTGATTCACTGTGAAAGGTCATGGAAGTTTTCAGTGATGGTTAACATAGAATAAAGGGCGGTATATTTATAGTTACCAGGTTCAGAATTTGGATCTGGATGAATTCGTTTATGCAGGGAAGAAGGCATCATCTGCTCTCCGTTACCATAAGATGATATCGGGAACTCCCCTTTTAACTGCACGAATGCATGCTTAAAGATGGATAAACTTGAACCGGACAGGAGAGACTTGAAGCTAAATACATGAGATCCTGTTAGAAAAGGTGTTCTGTTGAAAGTTGATGAGAAAGTGGTGCTCACCGGTTGGGATCTGACACCAGCTATAACTGGTGGGAATTGAGCATTGTCATCATCGTCAGGTCCTCTTCCATAGCTCATCTTCCCGTGAAGCATAGCTTCTTCATGGTGTTTGTGCTTGTTCTGTTCAACTTCAATGTTGAATTCGTGCTCGATATCGTCGATGTCTTCTTCATCTTCATCACCCTCCACTCTTGCGCTCCCTATGACAGTTTTATATCATAAAAAATACTATCACTCATTCATAACCTTGTCATCTATAAGTAAATATCGATACTCCTGATATTGCAATCGCATTTCAAATGCATGGCTAAATAGTGGTTATCTAGCTCTTGGCCATGCTTCTCATGATCATATCCAATGTCCCGTATAATGGGAACCAAGAAGAACATTTCAGATAACTTATATGTTAACTTTTGTTTACATTCTGTATCTGTATTCCTGTTTTGTGAATTGCAATCTCTAATTAGCCACATGACTTTATCTTTATGATAGTTCATCTGAACGTACATATTTCCATTGAATTAACTGGCTTTTCTCTACCTTTGAGACGCCGGTATCGAGTCTTGCAGTGAGGGCACAATTGGCTCCCTTCTCTCCTCTCATACTCATAGCAAGGCCTACACGCCGGAAATCCACACTCATTGCATGCCACAAACAAATCTCCGTCAACCGTGAGTCCAACCTCATCCCCACATATCTCACACACTTGCCCATCCAATTTCTTCAAGTTCAATGGCTTTGGCTGCACCCAAAAGAGAGAGAAAGATAACCATTACTCTAACATACAAGAACATCACCAAATATCTAACTTGTTTCATTCTTTACTGTTATGGCTTGAAGCTTTGTCATTCTTGTTTTGTATATTCACCTCTTCATGGCCTTGAATGATGACGACCTCGTCGCGGTTGTGAGAACCGGCCACAAGTCCGGTGCTAGCTTCCATGGAAGAAGTAGGGATGCCGCTGGCGGTGGTGGTGGGAGAATGGGCTAAGCTCAAGGTGGTGGTGATGGAAGGAGAAACGTTCTTTTAAATGGAGAAAAGGTAGGAGATAGCATCTCAAACCTCAAAGCTGAGCTCACCTAATGTGTGTACACACAAACCCACATGGCACTAGTTTTGGTTGCAAAGTCCCCATTGCCTTGAAGTTAACCTTCGTCCAAGAATTCTATCTCACCTAATATGAGGAGAAACAAGTGCTTTTGGCTACACTTAGCAGTTGTTAAGATGCATCATGTTTCTTTTTCCGACTTATGATAAATTCGAGCACCCATAATTGTGATGAGCAAGGGAGGCTTATTTGTCTCGCCATTTCTCTTTGCTTTTGATGTATCAGATGCAATTCTTGCATAATACACATCTCTGTTAGTTATGTTATTTTTCTGGTTTCTGTTGGAAAAAGCAAATTCTAGACTCAGGCACTCAAGTTTCCTCTCCTCGTAAATTAGTTTGAATATTAGATGAGAACTCCTTTTGAGAAATGAACTGGTAGGATTGATCATTTAGTATGAAATTGGAGATTGTAAATACTAAATTTCATGGAAGAAAACACTTATGGCCTAGTATGATCCACTTAGGATTTCTCCAATCTTATCAGAGGACATTTCATTCACTTACAAAAAATGGACATTCTTGCTTTGTGCTACACAAAAATTTGCACTCTATCTTTATTCAATCTCAAGCACTTCTGTGCTATGTATTTGTACACTCTGGATGAAATATCCTTGTACTTGAGGAGATGCGCATACTGAAGCAGGATATTTGAGATTTAGCAATTGATTCCACATTGCTTGGTATCAGGCCCCTTGGTCTTTAGCACAAATGGATCGATTCTGACCCACAGCAAGGAGAATATGGAAGCCAGTAGTATCGACCATATAACCACTATTGTTGGTGTTCGGTTCTGTCGCCCCATCAGCCCTTTCAGGAAGGGATAGAGATGGACAATCACCCAGAAGGCGAAGAATAATTTACCGAACAGAGGTCCCCATGCTTGGTACCCATTATTAATAGCATCAGAGATTCCAGCAACTACTCCAACTAGGTTGATGATCAAGATAGTAGTTGGAGGGATTAACAAGGTCGTCCATTTGAATGCATACAGTTCGCCAAACTCTTCGTCATCAGATGCTTTAGATGTCACTGTGAAATTAGTGTCTATTCCAGCTAATACCTTCAGGAGACCTTGTACAACAGCAAACAAGTGAGCTGACACACCACCAATGACCCAGAATTGCTCATTTCTCCACCATTCCTCAATGCTCACTCCGCTCCACCTCAATTCAAGAATGCCCGTCGCAAAGATTGACATAAAAAGAGCAATGAAGAAAAGACTGGCAAAAGTGCTAATCTGTAAAGTGCAGAAATAAGTTGAGAAGATTAGCAAAACATTTGACAGCTTTAATTCATATAAATCAGTTCATCCTTTGTGTTTTTGTATACTTACTGGTGGCATGATGAACTTGTCTGTGAGCAAGCAAATGGCCGGAAGAGTACAGTAGGCAAGGAGTGGTAAAGAGGTGAAAGGATAGATGGTCGTGTTGACATATGCAAACCGTTCAAGCCACTTAAGCTTGCCTCCTTTAACTCCATACCAGACTGGACTATGGCGGCTGAAAAAGATCTCAACAGAGCCAAGTGCCCAACGAAGGACTTGATTGAGCCTATCTGAAAGATTGATTGGAGCAGATCCCTTGAATGCTGGTCTCTTTGGCATACAATATATGGACCTCCAACCACGGCAATGCATCTTAAAGCCTGTTAGGATATCCTCTGTTATAGAACCATAAATCCAGCCCAACTGCAAGCAGAAATTTCGTAGCCGTCAAGTTTCACGTCGGGAATGTAAATGCCTGACGCCAAGGTATCTACTACATTTTTCAGGATCGAAAAGACGATCATTATCTGAATATGCATCTGTTTGTAGAGCTATGATAACTTATAAGGACATTATCAGGTGTTGGAGAAAATAACTACCAAATGCAGCAACATCGTATCAATTATACTTTAAGCAACAAGGTAGGAAAGCTCTGTGTATGCTATATTGGTGGAGATGTTCTCTTTTGTCGGTAACGGCTAAGCTGGTCCCTCTATAGAAGAGAAAGAGAGTGATTTTACTTTCCTGGAAATTAATATTACCTCGGTGCCCCATTCAGTTTTATCTTCGTACCCACAACTGATAACATGGATGGCTTCTTTCAGCAGGGCTGCTGGACTTGAAGAAGGGGGTACACCACCCTGATCCATCAAAGTTGAAGTAACAAAAATTGCTGACTGCCCAAACTTCTTCTCAAAATTCATCTGGGACATCAATAGCTCCTTGTCATCATCCATTCCTAATTAAGAGGTGAAGATGGACTTTAGTTAAGTGAAGGAGCAAATTAGCAGATATTAGCATGTAGATACTCTATATGCTATTGTAAAAAAAAAAAAAGAGTTTGAAAAACCTTGCAGATTTGCAGCATCCCCATTGGCACTATGCTTAGAATACTTAGGGAGTTTTTTGCGGCGGCCAAAGCATGGGCAGCAATCACAGCTGACCATCTTAGGACGCTTAGGACCCTTTGGGGGTTCATAGCCATATAATGCTTGTCTCCGGAAGACACATCCAGTGCCCACATATGCTGGGCCCTGGATTCCATCTAGACCTTTCATGTTGATCTGCAGATACAATGAAAGTGAGCCTGATTCATTCCTTACTGCAGGAATGGTAGCAAATAAACATTTTCTATGATCACTCTCAAGAAAGACTTACATCAAAGAAAACTGTGTTCCTATTGGCGTATCGGTCATGCGTATCAATTCCATCAAATCTTTGAGGGAATTGGACATAGCAAACCTTTCTTCCTATCTGAGGGTCCATCAAGAAGCACATCGCTTCGCGTGCAGCCTTGCTGTTATTTATGTAGTGGTCACAATCCAAGTTCAGCATGAAAGGAGCATTTGTAAGCACACCAGAGACACGAACCTTAGGAGTAGTAGGCATTAAAGCATGAGTTGTCAGTAATCCAGACTAAGGAAAAAG